GTGTGTACACTGTGTGTGTGTACAGTGTGTGTACACTGTGTGTGTGTACACTGTGGTGGGCACAGTCATCTCAGTCAGTCGACAAATGGCATCTTTTCATGAATTTATTATTTTCCAATTTTTTTATTTTCTATCTACGTGAATTTACCGAAAGAACCAAGAATATGGTAGTGCATTCTCTATTTATTGCAGAGGTTCAAGGTTCAAATCAGACAAGCACACCTGGCTACCCCAGTAACATGCACCACAATATGCGCAGTCTGCTTCACGGCAGATGTAAAAACATAGCGTTGTGTCATTCACGACGCACAGGTCATTGCATGTCGGTGTCACGGTCAAAATTGTGGCAATTCCAAATATTATCCAGCAACTAAACAACGGAGATGGCGCGTCAATGATCGCCCCCTACCGACAGACTCATGTCCACGTGCAGGCCGGTGCAGGGCCACCTTGTGCCACACAGGGGCAGCTGCCACTTAGGGAGAGGCGTCCTTCGATTGGTTGAGATGAGATTCGATACGAAACACACAATTAGGCATGCAACTTACGAGTGCAAATATGATGTTGGTAACGTAGTGAAATGCTTGGGAGCTTCATCGTCTCTCGCTCCCGCCGACAGATGGTACCCAGCCAACAGCTCTACAAATACCAGCTGCTCCTCCTGTGCAGGTTCTGCACAGAGCAAGTTTGAGTCGCGTGCAGTCGTGGGCCCATGAAAGTTGAACGGGCGCATGTTGCTACTGTCGGTAGTTGAATACAGTTGGAAAGACGCTGATAGAGACACACACACAGACTGACAAGAGAGAGAGGTGGACAGACACAGACAAGAGGAAGACAGAATGAAAGATACAGAGACCACAGAGACACAGTCAGCGAGAGAGAGACACAGAGGGGAACAGAGACACAGACGGACAGAGAGATGTTGAATCGAGCACAAACTTAACTCGCTCCATTGAAAGAGATTCCTCAATCTTTGCCCATCCCCGGAATTAAGTCGTTCTAGTTTCTATTTATTTCATTGTGTGTGGTGTGTCCGTGTAAGCAATGTGGGACATCGATGTACACGGATATGAACAAGCTCAGCAGACAAGACGTCTTTCATATCCTTTGGTTCTTTCGGTAAATTCACGCAGGTAGAAATAAACGAAAAAAATCAATCGCGACGTTTCGATCGCAACACCAGAGGTCGTCCTCAGGCGAAAACATCCAGACATTGTCGCGGCAGAAGTCACGTGAGCTACGGCACGTGACAAAGATAAGGTGACTCCCCCCCCAACGTGGCTCGCCCTGCTCAGCTGAGCATCGTTTTAATGCGGTGGGCTCACGCGAAATTGATTTTTGTAAGACGAAGGTACTTTGAAAACCCACTGGCTATTCTTTTTTATGCAAGTGTTGTGTCCTTAACTAATCACACGGAGACGTCTGGTTGAGGCAACGCGTTTATTATAACAACTCTTTCAAACTCGGCTCTACACAATACCGTAACACGACAGGGGTATGGCCCCTTCCACCCGATAGCCTCCGGGAGCGACAGCCTCCCTTCTATTGCAGCCTGCACACTCTGGGCTCTGCTACCCACGGGATCCCTTAGCCCGGCGTTAAGGGAAGACTGGACGACCCGTCCCAGCCCGGGTACGGGAGCTCACCTCTGGTCCGCTACAACCCGGCTCTGGCTAGAGCTCGGGGAGGGTCCCAGCGTGTCCGAGCCACCTTTGGTCCGCTACAACCCGGCTCTAACAAGAGCCTCGGTTGAGGGTTCCCGGGTGCTGGTCCAGTCTTCAGGTCTTTGGATGTCTTCAGGCTTGAGTTGGTGAACACTGCCTCGGCCCGTCCAGAGGGCCGGCCTTTTATCCCCAGGTCGGGGTCACCCCTCCACTCCTGACCTCCCCCCCCCCCCCCCCCTCCCAGAAGCTTCTGGAAGGTCTTATCTTAAGGGGACTTAGGGACGGGTGGGGGGTCAGGGGTGTGAGTCTCCGGTCACGGGGGGGGGGGGGGCAGGGGTTTACTTTGGTCGACCCCTACACACCTCGCTCTCTCTCGGCTGCCCCCTGCTGACCCGTGAACGTGGTGGCAGGTCAGCTGACAGCGCCTTGTTATGGCGCTTACGCACAACTTCACGTGACTCACGCTGTACGTTCCATCGTTTTCATGCAGGGGGCGCTGCAGACCTCTACGCGCCCCCTGCATGAACGACGGAGACGCAGGGACAGACGTTCGATCACGTTGGAATCGATCTGCAGACGGCGGTCTTCTCGCACGGCCAGCAGCTCTGTGTCGCCTCGTCTCGATCCCGCGATCCCAACCAGGTGAAAGTCCGCATCGAACCGAACCCCCGGCAAGGCCATCTACTTAACGATGAGAGAAAATTCATGCGAAATATCGATTTCAATTAAGAAGCTTTTAATGAAGAAATACAATTATCTAATTGAAAACATAACACAATTCAAAGTTGTTTCATTTTCAAACTTCAAAACGGAGCATCGGATGCTTGCGTGGAGACGTCGTTCGTCTGCAATTTTTTCCGTGACTTTCCTGGCCCAAGGCCGTAAATGGTTGTGAGGGGCACCGCAGGCAGTCAGGCTTGCTTCAAGCCCTTGGTTGTGAACATCCAGACGTTAATCAGCAAGGAGCATTTTACGTCCTAATTCGACAAAATCTACGTCAACACGTAATACAAAATTATAATTTGTGTTGTAGAGAATGTATCTCCTCTACGTGTAACCTTTGAGTGGTATTCCTTGTAACTGATTAATGATCCGAGTGTGCTCCCTATTTCAAAGACAATGAGTTGCTCCAGAGGGAGATGCTTCCTGAAAATACAAAAATACCCTTTGACCTGTATCACAAGAACAATGAGTCTCACCTGAGTTATCTGTACAGGTTATTTCCAAAACAGACTTTGTCCTAACATCACTTATTCAATGTTTGACCCATAGACATAGTTACATGTACGCACACAATCAGACAAGTATTAATTCTAAATTATTGACAGGCATATTAACAAAATTGAATTACTGCAGTGAAATATACTGCATCAGGTTACATCGTACTAACAAGAAGCTATTTTTTAAAAATACGCTTAACAGTGTATGTACAACATACTATTGCGCCATTCAAAACGAGTAGGCCATTGCATGCTGGCGTCTCGGTCAAAATTGAGCCAATTCTAAACATTCCTGTAGTGGGTTCCCAGGACACGGAGACGGTTGAGTAGAGGCAGCACTATTTATTGAACAAGGGGTCACACCTGAAGGGGCAGCGGCCCCTTCACCCATATACACTCAGGGATAACACCAGGCTATCTACCCTAAGGCCTAGGCTCCCGATTCCTCCAGCTATAGGCACTAGAGGAGGCTATCTGATCTGGGCCTGGTCAGACACAGATCTCGGCACTCCACCAACCAGACCAGCCCTTAAAAGGACTCTGGCTCTGGGGCTCAGGGGCCGCACCACTGGCTTGCTGTGCCGGCCCTGAAAAGGACAGCGGTCACAGGAGTCCCAGGGTCTATCCTAGCAGGCCTTCCTTCTTCACTGGCTCTTCAGTCTTGGCCCCAACACACTGCCCCGAGCTCTCTGGCTCCCCGCCCTTTATACCCATAACCCACTGAGGGTGGAGCCATAGCGGACGTGGTTGTAGCCACCAAGGTGTGGTTGTGCCTCACCTTCCCACACCGAGTGTTTCTTTCCCATAACACCCTACACCTACAAACTCCACAACTGAGATGCCACATCAACCATCGCCCCCTACTGACAAGCTCTTGTCCACATGCAGGCCGGTGCAGGGCCACCATCTTGTAGCACACAGGGGCAGCTGCTACTTGGGGGTGCTCTTCGCGTGTTTGAGACGAGAAATAACACAAAACTCCGAATTGCCAGAGGCGATTAAGCAAGCACCGTATAAATGGAATTATCAGAACCTTGTGAATGCTTGGGGGCTTATTGGCTCTCGCTCATGGTTAGAGATCTACGCAACCCACAGGTCCACAAAGACTGGCCGCTCTTACTCTGCAGGTTGAACCTAGGAATTGAGTGTTCAACTTTACATTCTTGTCATTAAAGGCCTGTGACAAAGGTGCATCTATTGGAGCGACATCGTCTCAAGCTTACATATCTACCAGGTCTCCATTTGACTTTGTATTGTCTCGGAGGAAGTCCACCCACACCTCCACTTCCACAAACTGCTGGGAGTTGCCTCGCTCTGCCTCACAGTCAGAATTCTCCTCCTGCTTCACGTTGCCTCCATCGATGTGAAGGTCTGATTTTGGAGTTGAATCTTCATCTTCACATTTTACCCTCACTTCTTCGCTCTTCACCATCACTTCTTCACATTTCACCTTCACCTCTTCATATTTCACCTCGATACCTTTAAAAGTGTCCAAGCTGGGATTTTCTTCCGGTTCTTGTTTCATGAGGGATGGGCTCATTGCGGCACTTTGACTTTCACAAGCTGATTTCAGACTCCACTCCTTGTGGATCTTCTGATGCTCGTGTGTTCTCTTGTGTACATTAAGATGTGATGACTGTGCAAACGCCTTCCCACACACACTGCACTTGAAGGGTTTCTCTCCCGTGTGTGTTCTCTGGTGTACAAGAAGATGTGGTGACTTTGAAAACGCCTTCCCACACACACTGCACTTGAAGGGTTTCTCTCCTGTGTGTGTTCTCTGGTGTACATGAAGACTTGGTGAATGTGAAAACGCCTTCCCACACACACTGCACTTGAAGGGTTTCTCTCCCGTGTGTGTTCTCTGGTGTACATGAAGATGTGGTGAATGTGAAAACGCCTTCCCACACACACTGCACTTGAAGGGTTTCTCTCCCGTGTGTGTTCTCTGGTGTACATGAAGATTTGGTGACTGTGCAAACGCCTTCCCACACACACTGCACTTGAAGGGTTTCTCTCCCGTGTGTGTTCTCTGGTGTACATGAAGATGTGGTGAATGTGAAAACGCCTTCCCACACACACTGCACTTGAAGGGTTTCTCTCCCGTGTGTGTTCTCTGGTGTACATGAAGATTTGGTGACTTTGCAAACGCCTTCCCACACACATTGCACTTGAAGGGTTTCTCTCCCGTGTGGGTTCTCTGGTGCCACGTGAAATGTGCAGTACTATCCGTGCTGTATGCACACCGGTCGCATTGATGCCTTTTTGCACCGAGCTGCGCCGAGTGCCTTTGCTCCATCAGACCAATTCTGCAGAGGAAGCGACAGCTGCAGACAAAAAAAAGGATATCCACACCATCTACACGTCAGTATCGATGCACAGCGGAATGCATTTATACAGTCACACGTGACTTACACGTCTATACTTATTCATATATTCATGATATAGTGAAAACGTGTCCCAAATTCATCACACGGGCTGTTATGGCACACAATGAGAGGGCAAATGGTCATAAACGTGCCTGGAGGTCCTCGTATCTTCAAAATGAATGTTAACCCAAAACTCCGAGCACACAATTTCGGCTGTCTGGCTTCAAAAGGAATATTTATGAAAGCTAAATTCAGCTGACGTAGCAAAGGGTGTTGAAAATAATACTATTTGTGTTAAGCAGAAATGCATAAATTAATGTTCAATCGCAACGTAGAGGTGTGAAAGCCAGGCACAGATGTCCTTGAATGCTGGGATGAACAGTTCCGACTTCAGCTGCACGTGTGCTGTGATAACTTCCTGACTACATTCTTACAAAGAGTTGCAGATGAAAACAAAAATAAACTACTGTTTTGATATAACCTCCGTGCCCAATAGAGTTAATAGACTTGACTGCAAATACAAACTTGACCCTTTCACACACTCAGAGGTAGAGCCAGGATATTCAGGTAGGGGGGGGGTAGCCCCTTTCAGCAATGAAATTGATAGGAGTTGTTAGTAAGTAAGGAGTTGTTAGTAAGGAGATATTAGTAAGGAGTTGTTAGTAAGGAGTTGTTGGTAAGGAGTTATTAGTAAGGAGTTGTTAGGAAGTAAGGAGTTGTTAGTCAGGAGTTGTTAGTAAGTAAGGAGTTGTTAGTCAGGAGTTGTTAGTAAATAAGGAGTTGTTAGTCAGGAGTTGTTACTAAGTAAGGACTTGTCCTATGCTTTTAATTCGACGCGTGTGAAAGGCATCGCGCTCGCTGAAGGTGTTTGCCTTCAGGGAAGTCGTGTACTGTATACGCAACTGGGCACAATTCTAAGAGTCGCTTGTAACTGCTTTGCCGTTACTTATTGCCAATTATGAACACGGACTGTTGTCCTCTCATAGAGTCCCTGGCAGGTAATAATATGCCACGCGGTGGCAGTGGGGGGGGGGGGGGGTCGCACAATGCTGATTGATCTATATTTATAAAAGGGAAATTTGTGAATGTGTGTCTGTTTGAAATGTTCAGCATACTTGCCGACATGCAACACAAACTGGAAATTTGGCATGTGGGTAGCTTCCAGACTGGACACAATGCACAAAGTATTAAAATAGCCATCATATCTGAGATGTCACCCTATGCGGCATCGTTACGCAGTGTGCCTGCTGACGTCACGCACACCCCCCCACCAACACTCCGCGAAGACCGTGTTTTAATCCAAGACAAGAATCAAAGTCCCGGGCAAAGCCGGGTAGTAAAGCTAGCCTATATATAAAAGGGAAATGTGTGGATACGTGTGTGTGTGTGTCTGTTCGAAATGTTTAGCATACTTCCCGACATACTACACACCTGAAATTTGGCATGTGGGTAGAGGTTCCATACCGTGCACAATGAAAAAAGTATAAAAATAGACTTTTGTATTTTGTATGACCATGAAGTTTGTGGCGTCAACCCGCAACACACCTGAGTTAAGCGCTCTGCAATGAATATAGAATTGAAGCTTTCGTGAATGCATAAATTACTCATTGGTTTTTTCGGTAAAGTCCCGTATGTAGAAATATAATAAAATTATATTAAAATAAATCACGACGTTTCGAACGCAACACAAGCGATCATCATCAGGTGTAAAAAACAAGTAGCGAGGGAGCACATAGGTTGACATCAACGCAACACATAGAGAGCGTTAAACTGCACGGAGGCAAATACAACAAGAAGATGAGAGACGAGAACTCAACAAACCTAAGAAAAATTACGTGATGCAAAACCAGTAGGACAACAACACAGTTAGACACTTGCCTGGTAGACCACGAATTTCAGAAGACTGCTAAATTTCGTGTTCATCCTCCGGGTTGAACAAACCAGCATAGACAAAGTGAACAGATACGAAGTACATGGTAGCAGAGATACATACACAGGGAAGAACATCCAGGGAAAGATGTATTTGGCAGCACAGATAGGGCTGTTAACAGCGTGCCGGGAGATTTTAGGTGGCGCTTCGCTCCTGGTCAAATGAAGCCATTGGTTTCTCGGAGTTTCAATACATATCCTCCGTGGGAAGAACGGGTAGAACTGCTATCTTAAATATGAAGCAGAACATTACATCTGTTTGTTTGTGTGAAGCAGCAAAAACCTCTCCCAACACTGAGCTCTGGCGTCGTGAAATTTTAACAGCTTATGCCGTTTGGAATTTCTAAGTGAACGCGACTATTTTCAGCTCGCCACGTCATTATTCCCTTCCCGAGTGGCCAAAATCGACCTTGCGTAGTAGTGGATTAAGGTAAAATTTCCTTGAGTGAAAACATCCGATTTAGGTAACTTGATTTGTTTCGCCTTTTTTCTTTCTCGCAAGCCTCAACATTTTTAAGGGTTTTTCAGTGAAATATAAGGGATATGAAATTTATCCAAGACAAGAATCCAAGTCCCAGGCAAAGCCGCTAGTGTAGCTAGTTACTAATAAACCCCAATGATCCTATCGAAATTAGGGATTTCGATCGGATCGTTGGGGGGCACGTGCCTACCCCACCCCCACTGGCTCCACCACTGTCACGCACTGGCATGGTTCACAGGTGGTGGTGTGTCCAGACCCATGCCTGGCCACCTTCACCTGCTCAGAATTCATGCTCCCTCACTCCACCAAGTAGAGTGAACACCGCCACGCGTCCATAGTGAACACCGCCACGCGTCCAGAGTGAACACCGCCACGCGTCCAGAGTGAACACCGCCACGTGTCCAGAGTGAACACCGCCACACGTTTAGAGTGAACACCGCCACGTGTCCAGAGTGAACACCGCCACGCGTCCAGAGTGAACACCGCCACGCGTCCAGAGTGAACACCGCCACGCGTCCAGAGTGAACACCGCCACGCGTCTAGAGTGAACACCGCCACGCGTCTAGAGTGAACACCGCCACGCGTCTAGAGTGAACACCGCCACGCGTCCAGAGTGAACACCGCCACGTGTCCAGAGTGAACACCGCCACGTGTCCAGAGTGAACACCGCCACGCGTCTAAAGTGAACACCGCCACGCGTCTAGAGTGAACACCGCCACGCTGTTGAGGAGCCTCACCTTGTGTTGTGGGCAGGTCGCTTCTGAAAACAAAAAGCGGTACAGCAGCTCAAGTGGGCTTGGCCTGGTGTAAAAAATAAAAATAAATAAAAACCTTGTGAATATTTAAAAGTAAAACAAAGTGACAAAGTGGCGAGCCGCCTGAAGACAAATTAAACTTAAGCGAGATAATTGAAGCAACAGCAATCAGGCGATGGCAGGAGGCAAGGCCCCGCGTGGTTAGGCCCCGCGCTGTGAAGTTTCAACCTGGACATCGCTTCCATGCTCGCTGCTACTCAATTGACATCCCTACGAGAGAGAGCGAGGCTCTACCTCGGTAAACAACAACCACCAGAACCACCACAACAACAACCACCACAACCGCGATGAGAATTTCTCACCTCGGAATTTAGTGCACGGGCAGAGCAGCAACTTCCTGTTATCTCGTGACGTCACGCGGCAGCAGGAGGTGATATGACGTCATGTCACCTTCTACTGCCGCGCGACGTTCCACACCCCTCCCACAATGAGCGGCTCTGTATGTGAAAATATTATGTTAATGAGCACGGCCCATATGTAGAGGGCTGGGGCGTGGGTGCTGAACCCGACGCAAAGGCTTTTAAGAATTAATTATGTTAATGATCCGCCTGTCACTGGGCGTGGCCTTGCCCAAATGTGGATTCTACTTGAACAGAAAACGGCAGGGACCCAGGCAGAGGTGACGTCACGTTCAAGGGCGCCTTGGACGGGGTAGGGTGTGTGTGTACGTACACTGTGTGTGTGTGTACACTGTGTGTGTGTACACTGTGTGTGTGTACACTGTGTGTTTGTACACTGTGTGTGTTTGTGTACACTATGTGTGTGTGTGTACACACTGTGTGTGTGTACACTGTGTGTGTGTGTACACTGTGTGTGTGTTTGTACACTTTGTGTGTGTTTGTACACTGTGTGTTTGTACACTGTGTGTACACAGTGTGTGTGTGTACACACTGTGTATTTGTACAATGTGTGTGTACACAGTGTGTGTGTGCACACTGTGTATGTGTGTACACTGTGTGTGTCTGTACACTGTGTGTGTACACCATGTGTGTGTTTGTACACAGTGTGTGTGTGTACACTGTTTGTGTGTGTGTACACTGTGTGTGTACACTGTGTTAGTACACTGTGTGTGTGTGTACACAGTGAGTGTGCACACTGTGTGTGTGTTTGTACACTGTGTGTGTACACAGTGTGTGTGTACACTGTGTGTGTACACTGTGTGTGTGTACACTGTGTGTGTGTACACTGTGGTGGGCACAGTCATCTCAGTCAGTCGACAAATGGCAACTTTTCATCAATTTATTATTTTCCAATTTTTTTGTTATTTTCTATCTACGTGACGTTACCGAAAGAACCAAGAATATAAATGTTAATCAGCTGCGCCACGCTGTGTGGGAGCTACCTGGCCTGTCGCTCCGCACGAAGCTGCGTGGAGCCCTCTGCATGGAAGTTCTGCGCCGGTGAGAAACTCTCTCAGGCCTCCCCACGCCTCCACGCAGATTGACGCGAGCCGAGTTGGTGGTGCATTCTATTTTGACTTAAAACTTTCGTGACTGGCAGGAATTTATATTCTTGGGTTCTTTCGGTAAAGTCGCGTAAATTTAAAAAAAACATGTTACATTAAAGAAAAATAAAATAATGACAATTTATTTTAAAATAACGCCGTTTTTATCTTCATTTTTGTTTTCTATTTACATGACTTTACCGAAAGAACCAAGAATATGGTAGCGCATTCTCTATTGCAGAGGTTCAAGGTTCAAATCCGACAGGCACACCTGGCTACCCCAGTAACA